TACAGTCTCTGTGTGCCAGCCCTGGATTCAAGATTGCACCTGCCCAAAGAGGGGCATCTTTTTCTTATTTACATGGTAACTATTTTCCAGCCTCCAACCTCCCCTTAAAGGTGGCTAGTGATACCTAGGTAATCACATGGCATTCTTCATTCATTCATGCAGTCAGTTCTTTTACAACTCATGTGAGGGGCCCAGCTGAATGGAAATAAAACTGGCCTGCTTTGCATATGGGCTCCACATTTACCAGGAACGTCTTGAAGAGGTTGCTTAAGCTCTTGAAGTCTCAGCTCCCTTATTTAGAAAATGGGGATAACAATACCTTCATCGAATTATTGCTGTGAAATTCAGCAGAGATAAAATGAAGTGCTCACTATGCTGCTTTGCATAGATTAAATACTCAAAAAATGGCGGTTCCTGTATTTTATTATTACTTCATTCTTCCGAGAAGGATTTCAATTTCTTCCCAGGAACTTTACAAAGAAAAATAAATCTATAAAACAAAATTGGCACATAAAGTCCTGTTATTACTCATATGAGTTATCTGGTTGTATTCAAACTATATAATTTAAAACTAATGTCACCACCCTAATAACTAGAGTTGACAACAAAGTATTTTCATTAGTAAGAGTTCATAGAAGAAAAGCCAGAAACATATATGTCCAAAAAGAATTGATTATATAGATTATAATATGACTAACATTCAATTATTAAAATAAGGACCACAAAGCATTTTGATGATAGAAAATACATATGAATAAATAGCTGGCCACAAGTTTTGCATAAAACAACAGCATGTTCTTAGCTCCACAGAAAAAGTAAATGCAATCGTGTGATGTGTTCACAGAGGCAGCCCGTTCAGAACACAGAAATCAGGTTTATTATCCTGTGGAATGACCAACACATACCTTATCTCTAGACACGACACTCTAAGAAAATCAACTTCTTTCTCATGTGAGTCCAACATGACAGAGAAAAGATGACAAAAGCTTGGAGGAAAAGTGGCGGAGTCTGTTTCAACTATTTGGAGGACTTCTTGTTTTGTGACTACATACACATATTCCCCATAGTTGTTTTCTGAATTTATATTTGTTTCTTACTAGCCTTCTTTTGGTAAATTCCAACCCACCACTTAGATAAATGAAGTAATAGTGATATACAGTCATAGTCATTTATCAATGTCTGATTCTAAAGCTTAACCTCTTAGCCTCTAGGCTAAGTCCTTGACAGGTTTTAGAATGACTGAATAAATGAAGGAAGGAATTACTGAGCCCAAGGGCAAGACTATGTAGTATTATCTACATAGAGGAAAAAAGCCAAAGCTTGGAGAAAGAAAGCAATTTGCCCAGGTGAAACAGCCTACTCCTCGGCTACTTTATACTGTGCCTTCGCGTGAATTAGGAAAGGCACACTCTTTGGATGCTTGCAGCCAAAGGTTTGGCAAATGGTTTGGTAGATGGAGTGTGTGCTGGAAGTCAGACCACAACTGCCCTCTTGGCTGAGTGCCTTCTTGCAGGGCACAATCTGCACACAGCCTGTAAAGTGTAAAAACAGGATTTTATCTCAGGCCTTCTGGCTTTACATACTTGTCTCTTCCATTAGAGATTATACTGCTTTCACACTAATGCACATCACTCCATTCCCCACCAAATAATAGCAAAACAAAAAAAAAAAAGTAGAATTTCAAAGGTAATTATAAAAGCAAAGAGCAAAATAATAATCACATCTTTCTCATGTTACTATTCTGGAAATAACCAACTTCCAGAGGAGTTATGGTATAAATTTTTGAGTAAGTTAAAGAGTAGAGAAGATAATTGAGAAGGGAGTCAAAAGGCTGAGATGAAATCGGATATGCTAAAGTAGCAAGGAGGTCATAAAATAGAGATGCTGAGGGTGGAGATGCTGTATTCTCTGAGCACCACACTTTGACAATCCCAGCTCCTCCTTATAGAAATGCTATGTCCATCCACTCATTCACCCTTCCCCTTACTCATCAAGCATTTATTGGTCACATGCCTTATTCCAAGCACAGTGCTAGGCGTTAGGTATACAATGATCAATAATAGTGCATAAACCCTGTCATTAAAACTTACAAACCATGAAATCAGATGCAAGTATATAAATTTATTACAACATAATTTAAAAATCTCTAGTAACAAGGAGTTATGTGAGCCCAGGAACAATCATGAGTAACTTTCCTGAGTGATCCAGGGAGGCATAATTAATATGGCTCTAAAAGTGTGGGAGGAGCTTTTATGGAGAGAAAATGGAAGAAGGAAGTCAAGGCAAAGGAACAGTTTGTATAAAGCTTCAGAACCACAGAGGGGTGTGGACTGAACATTGAATTGGGAGGTGTCAGTAGAGAACGTGGTGCATGAAGGGTGTGGAGAACGTGAGTCTGGGGAGGCAGTTTGGGGCCAGAGGCAAAGTGCTTTATGTGACTAAAACCTAACATGAGGAGATACCATCTGCCCAGCAGGTACTTACTCATTTCAGCACCATCACAAAACACCCTGCCTCTGCTCCTTTCTTGGGAGCCCTTTCAGAAAAAGAATTATACCTGTTAAGGCTGGAATGGACCTTTAGAGCTTCATGGCTTTAGACTCCCATAGCCCTTAGTTGAAATCCTGACTCTGCTATTGTCTGTGGCATTTGGGGGCAAAACTTTTCTCCTCTCTGAGAATCAATGTCATTATTTGTACAATGGAAGTGACAGAAGCTCACAGAACTAAGATGACACCTATGAGTTGGCCCATACAGCGCCTTGTACATAGGACACGCTTTACAAACATGGGCACTAGTCCCTCTCCCCTTCATTCTACCCCCTCCCCTTCACTTAGCAGAATTTATTTGCCTGAGAATGTTGGTAACAGGACCTGTTATTCCAGGCCTTTCAAGAAGGAAATTTCACAACAGAGTATCCAGGTTCTATTACAAGATTCTTTTAAACAGGATGTTCTAAGACTACCTCACCTCCTTTGTCTTACTGCCCCACTGATGCAAGCAAAAGAGTTCCACGGAGCAGGCTGGTGCCCCCCCCCTTTCTGGAAAGCTGTAGCTCTGCAGTATCTATTGTCACAGTACTGACCTGTGCACCTTCCTGCTAATCAGAAGAAACAATAAACCCTCAAGAATATCATTGTCAGCCCATTGTTCCAGGGCTCTAGGTAGCTGCTCAGAGCCTGATGAAATTGCAATAGATTACACTCTTCTGCACCTTGATCTTGATCCACCAGGATGTTTTCCATCCTAACCTGCTCTGAAATAACAAGTAAAATGTGATTTTTCACTATAGAGCACCATGAGTCTTGAATCACCCCCTTAATCACTGAATCACTCTCTTGATTAGGCGATCTAAACTTTACTATCATAGAATGTGAAAGTTAGATAACAATTTTGAAATCATGTAGTCCAGCATTTTCCAAGGTGTTCAGGAGAAGCGTGCAGACTCAGAATGGACACTATTATCTGGACCGGTTCTAGCAGATAAAAACCCATTTTACGTCTTTGCTTCTGGAGACCCGTAGGTGAAATGAATCTGAAGAGTTGATATTGCACCCTTCTAATTAACTTCATTCATTATATAAGTGCCTTCCTAGAAGTATGCTTGTATATAGTTCTTGGATATATTAATATTTAAAATTGCTTCAGCATTTGAAAATGAAGGATTCATTATATTCACTAACATGGAGTGAGCTATGAATTGGGGTACAGGAAGAAAATCTCTAAATTTCTGTATTAAAAAGAAGGTATGTAATGAGTTCTTATCAGTAGAGATATACATATAAGAAAGATATCTAATGTGTATTGAAAACTTAGTATCTGTCATTCCGCATTTAATTAATTTCATTAATCATCATAAAAACTTTATGAATTGAGTGGCTATTATCATCATTTCCATTTAGGGAAGAGAATATAGAAGTAGCGTGAACAAGTTAAGAGTCTTGTCCACAATTATACAGCTAGTGTAGCAAAGCCAGAATTTAGATGTAGGAAGGCAGCTCCAGGGTCTACTTTCTTAATTAGTGCTATGCAACACTACCAACCCAGAGTAATCTATCTGGCTTCCATGTGTTCAATTTATGACTCTGGTTGTATTTGTCATTTTTAATCATCCTCAAATCATAATAGCAGGAAGTCCCTTTTGAAAAATCTCCCTTTTGAAGAATCTTTCTTCCTTTCAAAAACTGTTTCAATCCCTGGAAGGGAAGAGTCTCCTCCTAAACAAATATCAGCAGGAGGTAGAAATCACTGCTGCTTATTATACCCACATACAGTTGCTGCTTAATGTGCACCTGAGATGAAAAAAAATACAGTTTCTCACCTCTATTCTGTACCTGGCTGTTGCCATTCTCTACATAAAATACAACACACAGTTTTTCACAGAGAGTGAAGAGAGGGACAAACTTAACCAAGAGTATTTATACAACCCAGGGCTCAAAGGCTGTACTTCCATGATCTCTCATGCCTTTGCCTTAAGCCATCATCAAATTTAACCTGCCCTTCTCTAGAAATAACTAGAGAAGAAATAACTCGAGAAATAATGTTCTTCTGGGCCTTGGCCAAGAACCAAAAGGGACCCCTCAATGGGAGATGACCTCAACTGGGGCATGCCTCAGATCATGTGAGCAACATCCACACCAAGACTGATGCTGAACTTAAAGATTCATCAGGGCCTATAAACTCAAGCAACTATTTTTCCTTGTTCTAAACAAAATAAACAGTGATCTTGTCAATGCTCCAGAATAAATTGACTGCGTTAGTTGTGCCTAGAGAAACACTATATACAGTAGGTGGGTATCTAGCAGGAGACTTTCAAAGAGGGGATCTCAAGGGTAATTTGGATCAATCAACTTGAAACATCAACCTGGAGTTAGACCAAATCCTCTCTAATGGACTCTGTGCTGGCTGCCAGTGTGGGCACAGGGAGAGATAAGCAAGGGGACCGATCTGTAGATAAGCATGTCCCTTGGAAAACGCTAACAGCTCTCTCTGATTTACAGGATGTCTTCAGGGCTGTACACCCGGAGCTTGATGTTGTGAACTTGTACCTTAAGCCACTGCTCATTGGAGAGCTTGCACCAGGAGAGCCCAGCCAGGAGAGAAACAAAAACGTGAGTGAGGTTTCAGGATCCAAGTGTGTGGAAGGATGGAGACAAGGCATAGTTACAGGCCAATTTACTCTTTTCCGTGAGAAACCAGCTATTGTGCCTGAATGTGCCCACAGCAGAGTAAATGAGTGGATTCTGCATATTTCAAAGCAATGTCTTCCTCTTTTGTCCTCAGAACCCTCTGTGAAACAAAAGAATGAACTTTTGGTCTTGGATCAATGAGTAATGTCACTTCTGTTACCACCTACTTCATGCCACGCAACTTACACATATAATTGTTTTCCAGTGACTGTCTGAATTATGTATTTCCTGTCTGTGTCTATGTTCTCTGCTCAACTAAGTTCCATGAGAGCAGAGAATCTGTCTATCTGGCTTGATGCAGTGTCCTCAGGACCTACCGCTACAGGATCAGACATGTAGTAGGAACTCTGTGAGCAGCTGTTGAGTAAAAGACATAAATATTTCCTAACTACAGCCCTTTTTCCATTTGGGGAAATTATTATTGAGGGAGAATAAATTAGTTTCAGAAAGTCCCACAGCTTGTATATCAGAGAGCTGAGACTCCAAATTACTTCTTTCTGGCTCCAATCCCTTAGGTATTCCCAAGGATGAATGCTGTTCTTTCTTTAATATTTTGACTGCATGAAATGTTGCCTTCTCAAATACAGGGTCTCTATAAGTGGAAAAATTCACCAGGATGATTTTACATAAAGCTTAATGGAATTTTACTTAATATGTAACAATTCCATTTTTTTGAAATGTGTTTTTTATAAAAGCTTACATTTGTCTGATTCTTAATTCTTTTGAAATAATTTGTACATAACACTGATCCATATACCACTATAAAGCAGAGAGAATAAAGATTTCATTCCCTCTCTAAGAAACGAGGAGACAGACACACAGACATAACAAGGCTCATCTGAGGACACAGAACTGGTTATGAGCAAATCTGAGACTAATGCTTAGGCTCACACCATAGGCCCATGTGCATCCTGAAGCACAGCTCTGTTTGGACTACGGGCTCTGAGGGTGCACAGCCTTAACTCAAACCCCAACCCTGCCATTCCCAAGCTGTATGAGTTCAGGCCAGTTCCCAAACCTCAGTTTCTCTCCCTGTAAAATAGCAACAATAGGACCAACCTGAGAAGAGTTATTGGGAAGATGGCTGAAAAAAGTATAGTCATTTGTAGTGCTTACAACAGGGTCTTAACATAATAAATGCTTGATAAATTTTAAATATCATCCTTATTATGAGCACAATGGTGATATTAGTATTTCACAAAATTCCAGATAGATTCCATCATTTGTGTCAGATGGCCCTAGGTTAAAAAAAGAGGATGACACAAAGCTCTATTGCTTTTTCTAAAAATTACCTGTAATAAAAAGAAAATCCCACTAATGGCTGAGAGATATAAGACAATCACTATATAAAAGACTATGGATCTCTGGGGTAAAAGATCTACCATAAATTTTGTTTTGTAAATCTATGGGGATACTCAAGTCATTATGTATAGAAAATTAGTGTTTGAGCATGAAACTGGTTGTCAAGTGTGAGTTTAGGTCCAGCATCTGTCACTAACTTGCTTATGTCTTCAGGCCAGTCACTCTTCTAGGTTTCAATGACCCACTACCTTACAATAAATGGGTAGGAAATTATGCCTGGGATGTGAGGCAGCCTAGAAATGACCAATTAACTTTAGAAAATTATTGAAATTATCTATGGCCATAAGAATTGCAAGGTGGATGGAAGCTGGTGAAATGAACCCATCCAGACTTTTGTCTGGCATTGTGTCCTTTCAAAGTAGCATCAGACTGGGTGTGGTAGCACATGCCTGTAATCCCAGCACTTTGGGAGGCTGAGGCAGGAGGATGGTGGGAGCCCAGGAGTTCAAGGCTGCAGTGAGCTGCTCCCAGGCCACTGTAGTCCAGCCTGGGAAATGGAGCAAGAACCTGTCTTTAAAAATAAAATAAAAGTTCATCAGTGAATTTTCAAATGATATTTTCAACTTCTAGAATTATTTTCATAGCTCTTTTTATTTCTAATTTCTCTCCTTTCTTACACGTACAACCCTACTTTCTCAACTATCTTGGTTTCAAACCCATTATAGTCAAGAAGATAAGAAATATTTCTTTCCATCCTTGAACACTACCCAGTATGCTTCAGCAAGCTGATGAAAAAAATGCTAATATTATACATGAACACACACACATGTGCATACACACAGTGTACTTATACAAGACAACCCTAACTAGTAGATACACACTAATGCCTCTGGAAACCCTGTCTTGCTTCTGGAGATTACTGAGAAGCTCTCAGAAAATTCATCTTTAGAGCTAATCTGACTGAACTATAATGTTCTATGTGCACCATCTTCTATGAACGTGTCCTTTGTACACATTAAACAATAACTTGCACAGAACCTTGTAAACTATGTCAGTAACTATGGTAATACAGAATCACATAGATGACCAAGTTCTCCAAAGCAAAACCAGAGCTTAATCAACACCTGAAATAATAATGATGCCTTAAAATACTGTTAGGCTTATGTATCCTACAGAGCCCTCTCCTTCCTCCTCCTCTGCAAAAAAAACTAATTCTGAGTTTCATAGACATTTGATGACAGTTTATAAGTCACTAACCGTATTTTTCTATGCCAGAAAAAAAATTATCCTCACATTTTTTCCAATGCTTATGTTTGCTGGTTCAGTGTTTTCTGTTTATAATTCTTAAAAATTAAATTTATTAACATTAATAAAATTCTATTGAAAAAATAAATTTATCACAAATTAATAAAATATAATATTAATGATGTTAATTTGTATTTCCTTTTCCCTGAATGAACTAATTATTTTCTATAAATACTTATTTCACAGTCCGAGTTGGTGAAAGATTTCCAAGAATTGCGGAAGACAGTAGAGGCTATGAACATGTTCGATGCCAACCTGGGGTTCTTCTTCCTCCACTTAGCCCAGATCTTGATTTTGGAAGGCCTGGCTTGGCTAACACTGTATCAGTTTGGCAGTGGCTGGCGTGTTACAATATTCATCACCTTTCTTCTCATAATTTCTCAGGTAAGCAGATATCCTAAGGGAATACAGTGTCCTCACAGAATGGCTCAGAGTTTTTTCTTCTCTCTGTAGCTTGGTGTCAGCTGCTATCTGAGGCTTCTTGGCCAGATACTCATAACCATCAGGCACTTACCAGCAGGTTACAAAACCTCACTGGGCACCAGTACTCTTATCTGTAAAATAAGGCTAATAATGAATATTGAATTATTCTGAGAAGGACTAAACAAACTAATTGTAAAATACCTAGCACAGTGTCAGGCTTATAGTAAATGTTTGATTAATTACATTTGCTACTATTTGCCCCATTTTATTTCCACAATTTCAGTAAGTGAAGTTCCATCCTTGGCCATGTAACACTCATCTTTATCCTTCATTCATTAAGCAATCAATATTTACCAATGCATCAGACCATTGATTATCCAACAGCAGAGACTATCTTATTATATAAGAATAAGAACATACGAGTTCCTCTTGTATATTGAAAGGAAATGAAGAACAGTAACTGATACTTAGAAAGGTATTTGATAAATCCTTCTGGAATAAAGCATGAATCTCTGAACATGGCCTTCTATGAACACAACACTGTGTTGTGTATACAAAGGGAAATTTGCATGGTCCCTGCTCCTCAGAAAAGAGTCATCTAGTGGAGCAGAGAGTCACTCAAACAGCTAAACTGCGTGGCAGGAAGGTATTAATGCCAACGAGGGGAACAAGCATGTGCTCTTGAAGCAGAAAGGAACATTTAATTCTTATTAGAACAAATACGGAAGGTTTGTAGAGAATTAACCCATCAATGTGTATCCAAGTTCCAGAATTTTGCACATTAATTCTTTTTCTTGAAAAGCCATCTTGCTTTATTTGTTGAAAAGTGACTTTTGAAAACAAGAAAAGAATCCAGTAGTTGTTTGGTGGTTAGCAGGAGCTGGGCAGTTTGCACCTATGTAAGTTGCACCATGGCCTATGAGTCACAGGTATTAGTATCCCCGTTTATCAGATGAAGAACTGAATGTCGGAGCTACCAAGTAATGTGCCCAGAGTCCTGAAGCTCAATAGCAGTGAATAACAGTTTAGAATCCAGATCTGTCTCATTCCAAAGCCCATGTTCTTTCCACCCCATACTGGGAGATTTCGACAGTGGAAAGGGGAGCATTCCAGGCTGAGAGAACCCCTGTGCCAAGGCAGGGAGGTTAGAAATAGCAGGACATGGTGGAAAATAGAAACTTGTCTTGAAGTCAAAAGAAATCACCCAGTAATTACAAACGGGCTTGTGAATATACTGCCGGGCTCATTTATTGATTTCTTCTTAAGTTCCCAGTGTCTCAAACAACAACTTCGTCTCTCCTAGGCTCAGAGTGGATTTTTGCAGCACGATGCAGCACACCTTTCCATATTTAAGAAGTCCAAGTGGAACCATCTGTTGCACAAATTTGTGATGTGCCATCTCAAGGTACAGGATGTCAGGGAGTGTGATGGGGATTCTTGAATGTCATTTCCTCAGGCACTGGCTTCCACATTTGTTTGTGCACTCACATCAGTAAAAAATGTTTATCATACCCAACTAATAAATGTAAATGAACTAACAGTGTAGAAAATATATATAACATATTACCTATTATTATATATTATATATCTGCACTGTTATATATAATTATATATATAAAATAAAATATGTGCTAAAATGAGAATTTTAAATTTTTTACAGGGAAAATGATTATTAGTTTTATTCAAGAAGTTATTACATTTTTCATTGCCCTGATAGACTATTTTCTCCAATCCTGGCACCCCATTCCCCTAAGGAACCACCCAGCAGGAGAAAGTTTGTGCCTTTAAAAACAAAGATGTGCACTGTAAAATCATGAAGGGAAATATTCCTAGAAGGGATTTGCACATTTACTTCTGGAAAGTCAGGGAAATTCAGCAGGCTTGATTAGTCCTTGAAGAGTGGGGCTGTGAAGAAATAAAGAAAAAGATGCAGGAGAACAGATAAAAGCTAAGAGAAAGAGAAAGAGTAGCCAGGGAAAGACAGGTGGCTCTGCTCCACAGTTGGGGGTTGCACATCCCAGACAGCTGGAAAAAGCAGACAGTGAGACGACAGCTGGTCTAATCCCCCCAGTATAAGCTAGGAAGCTCCAGGCAGCAAGTACACTGTCCTGTGCACCACTGCCACATAGCACCCAGGAGAGTGCCTGGCACATAGTAGGCCTTCAGTAAGCATTGTTGAATGAAGGAATGAATGAGTAAACATGGCTTCTCAGAACAGCTTTCAGCCCCGGCTCTGACAGTGTTCACTATGGGATCCTGAGTAAAGCACATTCTATCTCTGGCCCTCAGTGTTCCCATCTGTAATATTAGGAGTAAAACTAAATCTCTGCTTTTCTAGAACTTTCTAGGATTTGGTCACACTGTCCTCTGGCCCAGAAGGGAGGCCAGAGCCTTGCACTAACCAAGCTTTGCATTCAAACAAGGGCCTCTTAAGGAAACGGACTGACTCAGAGCCCATTTGTTCCTCCTTAACACAGCAGTTTCACACGTGTATGTCTGTCTAGGTGTCTGGCTCCCCCACCTACAGTGGCTGGAAAGTGTCCCCTATAAAAGGGTGAAGGGCATGCAGGGGTCAGGCCCACAGAGAGCCATGAGCAGTAACCATTGCCAGCAAATGGTGAGGAAAGGCAGATGGGACCCACGTCAAATGACAGCCTGCCACGAGCCAGGTTCAGAACTAGCCCCTATTGTCTCGTGTGATTCTCATGAGATGGGGATTATAACACCCCTGTTTTTCAGCTGAGGTTGACATTCAAAGGGTTAACTATTTAAGCCAATGGCCACAAGTTGGTAAGTGAAAGAATTCCTAGCGCACTATTAAATAGTGCAGGCTCTAGAGCAGTGCTTCTCATTGCTAGCTGTCATTTGAAGTCACCTTAAGAACTTACCAAAAAAAAAAAAAAAAAAAAACCCTGATGCCTAGGCACCATCTCTAGATATTTTGATCAAATTCATCTGTGGTGGGGTCTGGAATGAGCATGGTTTTGAAATCACCCCAAGGCCATTCTAACCTGCAGGCAGGATGGAGAACTGCTGCTTTAACAGCAGACCTGCCTTCTGTGGGAGCTCAGCCACTCAACAGCTGGATGACCTCCAACAAGTTACTTAATGTCTTTGAACGTCAGTTTCTTCAACTGTAAAATGAGATGAGGGACCTGATAGGGACATTGTCAGGATTATATACTATACCCATGTGTCATGCTCAACACAGTGCTTGGCTATGGGAAATGCTCAATAATGTTTAGCTGTTACCAATAGTGGGAAAATCTTCTGTAACCAAAATGAGGGCCCAGAATCGTGAAGACACATGTTTAATGGTGATAGTATGCAGAAGATGGGGAAGTAGCTCGTAAGTCACAATATCACTGAGTTGCAAGACACTTGGAGTCAATTATTCTTATCTGCACTCTCTCCCACAGAGCAGACTGAGGCATTAAGTAGATTAAATAGCACAGATTTGGATTTGGATCTGTATTAGAGACATGTCTGTCCTTCCAAATGATTAGAATGAATAATAAATTGTCATTTATGTGACAAGTTACATTTAACAAAAAAATTCCTGTAGGCACCTACCCTTTATCCACCAGTGTTAGATAGATGAGGTATTTCTGGATACACTCAGAAACATTTGACACAGAATAAAAGCAGAGACTTTTATTATGTCATTGTGCATTTCAGGTAATGCCCCTTCCCATTTTCCCTCCTCTGTTCTAAGGAATCAGGGGAAAGATAGGACTCACATGCCCTGGAGTAACTGTCAGTTGATCTGGTGCCAGTGTGTGGAATATTTCAGATAAGTACCAGCCTTGGAGGTACTTTAAAAATAACTACTATCCCCTTGCTCCAAATTTGTACACAGCTCTTTATATATAAATTGTGTCCCAGAAACAATTTTGCACTAGTTGAAATGAATATCACCTTAATGATTTGTGAGCAGAATGATAAAATGGGAAATGACTTTTAAAAGCAAGTCATGTGGGGAAATGGGCATTTATTGAAACCTTAAAATCTGTACCCCCATAATATGCCGAAATAAAAAACAAATTAAAAAATAAAAAAAAAAAAGCAAGTCATGTGTACTCTACATTTTTGCAGCCAAAACCAGTGATTCAGGAGAAAAATGAATGTAAGCTTCAACAATGAGCAGGAGAGAACTTTACCTGTGGATAGGACATTATACAGAAAAGTATAATATAAACAGCAACATCTCCACCTTATACATACATCACAATTTTAAATTTCAAAACTTAACTGCATGTAAATTACCTCCTTGCTCCCCTTTTCTGTAAAAGGCACAGATATTAAGATTCTTTGGGGTTTTCATTTATTAGCTGTGCAAAAATATATATGTTCTGGTCTTTGCAGTGTTCGTGCTATGAAAGAGTCCTTCTGAAAATAAACCATGAAATGTCTGCATACAATTGGACTTTTGTGCAATGCTAAAATCAAAATGGACTCTCTGTAATATATTTTTATAACCCCCAGAATGCACATTTCAAAAAATATAAGAATTGAATCTCACTGTAGGGATAATAGGAGAGAATATTTGAAATTAAGATCTTCCTAGAAAATCTGGCCTATACTGATTACATGACTACATGCTAAAACATTTGATTTGGTGAGAGGAGGGAAAGTGTCAAGCATGTTACTGCCTGTAATCCTAAACAGGGATTAAATCCAAGCAGGGATTTAAATTCATATGGGTTTCATACCAAAGCCTGGATTCTTTCTACTGCACCAAAAAAAGACCTAACTTAGAAATGAGACATGACTTAGGTTGATTCCCGTTTACAACTTGATGCACGGGCAGCTTATTTGGCACAGAGCTTATAATCCACATTTGCAGATGAAGTGTTGTCTCCTTTGTCTCCAGTAATAGTGGCTCCCAGACAGAGCCAACTAGTTTAGATCACACCCATAATTATTCTGAACACTATTCTAAGCTTTATCTGTTAAGATCTGCTCCCTCAAGTATTGGGAATCAAAATCTGTCTCTCATATTACCAGTTACCACAGGTAGTCATTGGCTAAAAGAGTACAGTCAACTGGTGGAAGTGGCCAAAATGTTGGCTTTCAAAGTACTTAATTGAAAAGAGAATCAGTCCTTATCACACTGACTGCACTTAGTTGTCTACTGCTCTTATTAGATTGTATGTTTCATAAGTGTGGGAACCCCATCTTATGACGTTTATCTTCACATTCCAAATGCCTAGCTCATTATTTGACACATGGGACATACTTGAAAATAAATAATGGATGGGTGAATAAATGCACAATTGGAAGAGACTGAGTGGATCATCTGCAATTTTTTAAATACTTCTCTCAGTGTCTTTTCTTAGTTTTATTTTATTTATAATTGACACATAAAAATTGTGCATATTTATGGGGTACAACATGATGCTTTGATACATGTATACATTGTATACTGACCAAATCAGGGTAAATAACATATACATAATATTAAACTTTTATCATTTCTTTCTGGTAACATTTAAAATCCTCTCTTCTAGATATCTTGAAATAAACTAGATTTTATTATTTGCTGCAGTCACCCTACTGTGTAATAGAACACCTAAACTTATTCTTCCCATTTAACTGTAATTTTGTATTCATCATATGGAATTTGATGGGAAAAATGAAGAGCAGTGATGGGGCTCCAGAAGGGGAATAGAAATTGTTGACTATAGTTTGGGACATATTGAGTTTGAGATATCATGAGACACCCAAAATAAAATGTTTGGAAAGTGCCCATTCAGGCATGAGATTAAGGACAGGGATCTGGGCTGGAGGGAGAAATTCCACTGAAAATATATTGGCGAGTGTTAGAAATGAGAGGAGAATACGGCTCCTGTTGGGTTGGGGTAGGGGGAGTTACAGAGAGGACTCTGAAAAGAAGGCTGTGGAAAGGTAGTGTTAACACTCACAGAATTTCAAACTGACACATCCCTTCTGCCATAGATGTATACAGTCTAGACCAGTATGCGCCAAGAAAAATACAAAATACAAAGTTACATGAAAATGACATATGCATTTTAGATTTTCTAATAACCACATTTAAAGAGTAATTTTATTACTCAACATATATTCAAACTATTATCCTTTCAACATGTAATCAATGTAAAATTATTGAGATATTTCACATTCTTTTTTGCATAATGAGTCTTCAAAATTTAGTATTTTTATACTGACAGCCCAACTTAATTTGACTGACCACATTTCAAGTGCTCAAGCCACATGTGGCTAATGGCTACTATACTAGACAGTGCAGAGTAGAACATGTATAAATTGATTCCTAAGATGTGATAAAAACTACTACTACTGTTTATTCTTCTGTAAATTATTAATGTGAAGGAGGTAAAATTGAATATCTCACTCTGCCAGCGTTTTGCATACAGCATCTCATGTCTCCCCAAACAACCCATGGAGGTAAATGTGCTTTTACTGTATGTACTGCAGATGGAGTTGAGTCTCACAGAGGGTGGGTGATTTGCTCAAACCACACAGCGGTATTTATACATCTAGTTTGTGTAACTAGGTTGCTGTGCTTCCAAATCCTTTTGTTTATTACAACTTTCAGACTTTCAGTGAGAGAGACTCACAAACAAGTTAATCAGAGGTGATTCAAGCTTGGCATCAGCTAAAATATTTTTATTCTCATTGATTTTGATATGAAAGCATTGAAGCCGGAATATGCAATGATCTGAGCCAAGCCCCCCAAAGAGATCACTTCAGATCCATGAGTCTTTGAAATATTCATTGACGTAGGAAACCTGAGGCCACTTTTTTTTTTTCCAGAGCTAATTAAAATCTTGGGGCTGAGGCTTCTTTGTGTATAAAATAGGAATAGTACTCTGCTCCATCTATCTTCAGATTTTTTTTTTTTTTTAGTAAATGAGGATAAAATAACAGAAGGATAGAAAAATATTTCCCTTCAACACAATTTTATTATTTTCCTTATTAGCCTGAAGTGGTGTTTCTGGATCAGGGAATTATTTCTTCATAAGCTATGAGAGCCTCTATCCAGTGAGTCATTCTGTGACCCAGCAGTGGGGACAAGCTCAAGAAACTCAGATATTTTATTTTGACATTAAGGGTGGATTCAGAAAACTCTGACAGTGAAGGGTATTTCTGGAGAGAAGTCTTCCAGCTAACAAGCCCTCTCTTCTCCTCAGGGCCTGTCAGGAAACTGGTGGAATGACCGTCACTTCCAACATCATGTAAAAACAAACATCTACCCCAAAGACCCGGATATCAACATGGGTCCGCTTTTTCTGCTTGGAGATTTGCAACCTGTCAAGGTACATTTAGAAATCCTGGCAGCTGAGAAATGTCCCTGGAAGTGGTTCCTGCAAGGCTGACCTTTGGCCTTGCCTTGGAAACATCAAGCTGGAAGTTCTGGCTTTACACATGATCTGGGAGCATCGTTCCTTCTTTTAGGTCCAAAATATAGACTTGGTATAACTGAACCTAGGGCTCAAGATTTGGAATCATGATATATGGCTTTAAAGGCCATCTGGTCCAACATCCTGCTCCAGGAACTATGAGAACCCTGATTATTTGAGCTATCCCAGTGACAATGGGTCCCTGCCCAGTGCCTATCATCACCTCTGAGGCAACACAAGCCAGGGATAGATAGTGGATCTAGATGAGTGAGTTTGGCAGTGACTGTCCAGAGTTTAATGAGGATGTGGAGAAATCTTCACTGAGAGAAGACAGGTCAGTACATACTATAAGCACTAGATCACAAGTATTTAAATATCTCATTATCTCAACGAATTCTAGCACAGTTAGAAGAGTCTATACTGTTATATTTAACTCATGTTCATTTTGGTGCATTTATACATAAACCACAGCCTAAATTTCTTGTAGCACTAGAGATGCCAGATCTAATTTGAATTTCTTAAACAACATAAAATGGACTAGAAAAGTCATCTTCAAAATTTCTCAGTGATTGTTTGCTTTTTTTTTTTTTAACTTCAACTTGAAACTATCATGTAAAGGACTATTTAAATTACCAGGTTGTTTTTTAGGAGGGAGTCTTCCTTAAACAAAGGAGATATAAGGATAACAAAAAAAATATATCTCTCCTCAAAGGGAAATACTGGCTCCTGAATGTGAGGTTCTTAGGAAGAAGTTCCTATCTCCTTATAGAAAAACAGAAGAGAATTATATAATAGAAAAGGTAGTTTTGTCAGTTGTTCTCTGGGCCTATCTGGTACAGAAATGAAAACTCCTGCAACTTTTTTGAAAATAAGTTTTCCCAGTTTGGGGAGACTCACACTCTTCCCCAGCTGAAAGAGGAAACAAGGTCTCTTGCTTCAATTTAAAAAAATAAATTGTAGGCTGTGATCACAAACTATTTGCATTTGACAATGGCTCCCCAAACAAGTTGGACTTCCCTGATGTTTGTGCACTTCTGTGCTTGTCACTAGAATTGTGAAATACTGATTTCTCTAATTTTCCCCCACTGCTCAGAGCGAGGGAGATTGTCCCACTACAGTTCATGAAGCAGCCTGGCTCTCTCCACGTCTGCCTTCCCCAGAGCTGCGTTCAGTGCACCTGCTGCCTCCTCACACATCAGGGAGGCTCCTCTCCAATTCCTGCATCTGCTCCGGGGACACGTGCCTAGAGCCTTAGAGTTCTCTGTAGTATAGTTTCAAAGCCACTGTACAAGACATTATTTATACTCTGTTTAAATGCTAAAATTATTTAGATCCCAAAATTCAGCACTTCGTCATCGAAAACATTTCTGTTGAGCCCTGAGTTTTCCTTCTTCCCTCTTTACTGCCAGTCTTTCTACTACTTTCTTCAGACATTAATTTCTTCAACAAACATTTATTGAATCTTCTATGTCTTGAGCTCACATCCTGAAAGACTTGGAATCCTCCTTTGTAGTGATATCAAAATCACGCCAAGCATTTTCTACCTAGTCCCTTTTCCATATTTCCCATTACTCAAATATTTGGAGACTTGGGAGTAACTGCAAATAGCTATTATTACTTCATCACCATAATAATTCTTATGATTTGTGACAATAGAGAAGGCAGGACCAACCATGCCATCCAAATAATGGAAGAAATCTATCCATACGAGGGAACTTATCAAAGAAATAGGGGAAACAAGAGTCAAACACTGCTTATAGCGTTGCAACTGAGTGAGCACAGAGAAAAATATGAAATGGGTGTACATTATCATTCATTCATTAATTCCTTCAATAAACATTTATTGAATGTCTTCTGAGAATTGGAGATATAACCATTAATTCTATCCTCCTCTCAAAGCATTTTCTGTCTTTGTGCCCTGACCACAAGCCAAATTAACCAAGTGGACTGTTAGAAAAAGGAATCAAATTGTCATTAGTGAGTGTAACATAATAATTATATTATTATATATAATAAATAATTTTATATGATATATAATAAAAATATATTAGCATTATGCCTTAAAATAGTAAATCACAGTGTGAGATCCATGATGAGAATACAAAAGAGAAAAGATGAGACAAATAGGAGGAGTCCATGCCTATATCTTTTATCATATGACCATTTGGTATCTGTTGGAGGAATGAATGAAGATGGAATCTAATTTACAAGCAGAATACTAAATGCCACAGTCGAAGAAGAGCTAGAAAACTCAACAGAAATGTTCCTTTTTAGTCAGAATTCCACTTCACATACAGAGAAAAAATTTCAAAACTATTTCCATGAGAAAAATAAAATGATCACAATCCCATAGTCAAATGATCAGAATCCCCATAATCTATTCATGAAAGAATTGGCCACATTTAGTTAAACCAAAAAGAAGCCACAATATTTCCCTCCCTTCCTAGTACTGCTTCTTCTAGTGCCTCAGGTTTGACAGCTAACAAAAACTGATTAGATGGCTCTCTCCATAGAGATATTATTTTTTAACTTTTTATTTCAAAATATTACCAGCTGGTGGGAGGGGGGAGGAGGGGATAGGAAAATTCATACATAACAGGTGTGGCATGCACTGTCTGGGGTGGGAATGCTTGTAGCTCTGACGTGGGTGGTGCAAAGGCAATTTATGTAATTCATAGAGATACTAAACACACACTCACACACACACACACACACACACACACACATGTCCTTGAGTGTGATGACCAGAAGTGTTTTCCCTTATTTCAGTTTTTTTCTCTCTCTCTCCATTCAGTATGGCAAGAAGAAAATCAAATACATCGACTACAAAAAGCAGCACCTGTACTTCTACATGGGTGAGTCTGCCAGAGACACATTCCTTAATATCCCATTTCCTTGAATGAGCCCTTGTCAAGCCGGAAGGCTGACTGCAATTCTCTCACAGAAACCTGACATTTCCTACTGTTACTGAGAAAAGCAGCATGTCTTGCTTCAGACTCACTAAGGTAGACATCTGCAAAGGGAAATGGAAAAGCAAATAGGCCTTTTTAACCAGCATCTCCTCACTCTGTGTGGTGAGCAGGGAAGGAGGGAGATGCCCCACGAGGGAGGGAAGGCAGCTGCCGGTCAAGGGGACCTGCACCCAGGACTCTCATCCTGGAAAGACAAGACACCTGCCAAGAGAAAAGGAGAGGGGTACTTGGGCAGGGATGGAAAGGAGATGGGATAATAATCCTGAAGAATTTAGTGTGACACCAGAGAAAGGAGAGGCCCAGGAGTAAAAGGCGTCTCCCACAACCCTGTGTGGAAGGAAGCTGGCAGCTCCATGGCCTATGTACAGCCATAGAAGGCATGAGACCTACACACCTGAGTGTGAACACATAGGCCACGCCTGAAAGGAAATACGGTAGCTGAGTAATTCTGATGCCGTGAAAAGAACATCTTGAGTAAAAAGCCTTTGCTCTCAACTGAAAGCAAATTCATGGCAGCTCACAAAGAGAATTTTCAAGGAACTTCAAATCTGCCCATCTAAAACATGCAGCACACTTGGGAAAAAAATCAAAATCAGCGGAGGAAACAAATATTTGCTGTAGGCAAGTGGTTCTCTACCAGGGACAATTTTGTCCCCATGGGGACATTTGACAGTGCCCAGAGTCATTTTTTAGTTATCACAACAGAAGTGGAGGGTGGTGCTGATATCCAGTGGGCAGAAGCCAGGGATGCATTGTAAACATTCTACAGTACACATGACAGCCCCTCATAACAAATAGTCATCTGGCCAAAATGCCAACAGTACTGAGGTTGAGAAACACTGGTGCAGGTGATCTGATTTGTCCAAGTATCTGCCACTAGGGGCCATTGTTACATGCCTGAGGAAGATGGTGGTGGGTGAACTTGATGGTGGTGGGGCTGACCATCCCTGCTCCTAAACAGCTGGAATCTAGCCTCCCCTACCAAGCACTCCTCCCTTATCCTTCTCTTGCAGGAATGAGGACAATGGTGCCCCATTCTGTAAGGTAACTGGTCCTCAGCCTAAATAGATTTACATTTGCACAAGAAAAATCTGTTGGAGTGTCTTTAATGAACTTTCCAGAGAACTGTGTGTTTACCTCCCCTGTCTGCAGTGGTGCAATATGCCCTGAGCTAATGAGGAATGAGTGAATGGTGTGGATTCCCTGCAGAATGCCCACCATACAAACCTCACTGCCCCCCAAGAGCTGTTTCACTGGGGCCTTTCCCTGCAAATGCCATCTTAGCTTCTTGGGTGCAAATGAGCCCTACTCAAACTGTCAAAGAGAACGAACACTGGACATTTATTAAGGGCAACAGGACAAATTTTATTTGTGCTACTACAGTAAGGGAGAGCAACATCAGTATAAAATGAGCTTAATTCTGCTGAAACAAAAGGTGGGGGAGAGGCTATTTACCAGCTGGGTCAAGCTAAAGAAAAAGTACTGAAAGAAGTTGGGGAGTTGGGTAGGGGTGGGGGAGTTGGTCCATGTGATTAGTCAGGCCATCATGTCTGCTGACTGGGGCTTATTGAAGTTGGGCTCCTGCCCTCCCACAGAGACAGGCGGACAGAGTCCCTGTCCTTCTTGACAACTACATCTGAGAGGGATGGCTCTCAGGTCCTTGAGAAAGACATTTCTGGGTTATAGAAGATCTATCTCAAAGGAAGAGAGGAAGGATTTACAATTGTAAGTTTTCTAAAGTAAATGCTCTAAGAAAAGGAGATCAGGTGCCTATAGTCAGGTTTGGGCTGGAATAAACAGTAAATTCTTTTGGCAGAATTGAGCTCTCTCAGGGCAGAAACTAACTTAAAGGGGGCTGGAGTCCTCCTACAGAAAGGACATTGAGCTTTTAGAAACTATGCTAGTGTTTGTTCAAGTTTCTTGGAGTGGGATGGATAAAATCATTTGTGCTGAGAGTCTGCAGCCCTCATATGCCAAGGTTGAAACCCTGTTCAGGAGAAGAGGGCTCAAAGGATACAGACTAGAGTTTGGCCAAGGAGAGGGTTTTTGCCGACAGCCAAAGAGTCTCTATAAGACTCCTGTGAGATCTGGGCAGCTCGATGGTACTGGGGGAGACACAGGTAAATAACTCTTTGACCAGGAAACGAGCACACGGTCTTTATTTCCACCACCTTAACATATTGTGACAAGGCCCAATCCTAAGAATTTTGGGAGACTGAAGGACTCTAAGGACCTTGAAAAAATTTGAAAGCTCAGAGCAGAAGCTCTTTGGAGATGCCTCCATCAGAAATGACTCAAATCTTCAAAGCTTCCCTAGCCACTGTGATAGAACTAGAATCTGGAGATGCTGACCCAATTCCTGGTTCAGCTTCCTGAACTTGGAAAGTCCAGTGGAGTCCAGGATGTGGACTTGTGTCCCGTCTCGGGGCCAGCACTCCAGGAGCGGCACAATAAGGAGACAGACTCCTGCTGACTTGCACTGGGGCCACGTTCTGATCACCTCTTCGCCATGTTTGTGTTCCTTTTCAGTTGGGCTCCCCCTCCTCATGCCTGCATATTTCAACGTGAAATCCATGGAAATGATGTACCTTAGAAGAGACTGGGTGGTGAGTAACTTGGCTCATTCTCCAAAACCAAAGAGGTAGAAGAGGGAAAATGAGATATAGCTTCAAGATATAGCTTCCTTGAGCATCAGGGCATAAGATTTAGCCAGTACCTGAAGGGACCCCAGGCCAATGAAGAGGAAATGAAATTATGTTCAGAGCATCTAACTTTCAAGTGCTTTTCTCTGCAGGACATCGCCTGGGTTAGCAGCTTTTATATCCGACATTTCATCACATTTGGCCCTTTCTATGGAATCTTTGGAGCCCTATTGCTGATATATTTGGTCAAGTAAGAATATTATCTTATTACCGTAACCCAGGTGACCCTCTTATCTTCCTTATCAGAGCTATTTGTCTTTAGCAGAAGATGATGACACCATGCTCCATTTGGAACTGAGGTGTTTCAAGCAAATGTGGAAAAAAAAAAATTGAAATAGTTGAACAAGACAAGCTCCTTGCAAGAATATTATCCCAATCTCCATTTTTTTCCCACTGGCTTCATTCCCAGTTGAAGCATTTTAGCGGATCCCCAAGTCTCTTAAAACTGTAATTTGTTAATAGTTAGATATCATAATCTCTAGCATAGGTAATGACAGGGCAGGATTTTTTAAAAGTTCTTTTATGACTAGAGATTTTCCCAGAAACAAAACGATCTCAGACTATTCTTTTTGCCTGAATAGCCCTTTCCAACTTTCCAACGTATTCCTCCCTCAGTCTGTTGCACTATTCTTCTAAATCCTAAGTAATTGTAAAGTACCTACTATGCTTCAGGCACTTTGTTGAAGGCCTTACATGCATTATCTTATTTGATGTAATCCTCACACAACACCGCAAGGTAGATAGTATCATCTTCATTTTTCTGCTACAGGAATTGAAGTTCAAAGAGATTAAATGACATGCCCAAAGGAATGTAAGAGCAAGCTAGGGCTAAGGCCAGTGCCAAAAGAGAACCCAGCTCCATCTGGGTCTGCTTTGCACATGCTCTGGAGTTTCCCTGGAGTCTGTGATCTTTGCACCAGAGCTACAGAATACCTAAGAGGCACAGCTCTAGATGCCTGGCAGCAGGGCAGTTCACATGAATGAATGCTTAATGTGTCACCTCTTTTATAAAGGACATAAAGGGTTTTCAAAGAGGAAATAGAATGACAACCATTTTGCTGTAACCTTTGAGCCCTTTTCATTTCCTCCAGTCCTCAGCGAGCTCTTCCAGGGGTTATGTAAGCCCAGTGATGTGCTTGCTACTGAAAAACCCCAAAGTGTCATCACCTTCTCCCTTTATTGCCCCCAAGGTTTCTTGAAAGTCCCTGGATTGCATATGTTACCCAGATGAGCCACATACCAATGAAAATGAGCACAGAGGAGAACCAGGACTGGCTCAGCACTCAGGTAATGGTGGAGGGAGAATCCTTCAAACCACACTGATTTACACACTGGTTACCTCAAATGATAGTGACTCACCCTTAAAGAGCACATACCTCAAGAATGGATTAATAAAATGTGGTATATGTATACCATGGAGTACTATTCAGCTCTAAGAAACAATGGTGATATAGCACATCTTATATTTTCCTGGTTAGAGCTGGAACCCATATTACTAAGTGAAGTATCCCAAGAATGGAAAAACAAGTACCAGATATATTCTCCAGCAAACTGGTATTAACTGAGTAGCACCTAAGTGGACACATAGGTACTACAGTAATAGGGTATTGGGGAGGGGGGGTGGGGGGGCGGGTATATACATACATAACGAGTGATAGGCGCACCATCTGAGGGATGGTCATGCTGGAGACTCAGACTTGTGGAGGGAGGGGGGAAGGGCATTTATTGAAACTTTAAAATCTGTACCCCCATAATATGCCGAAATAAAAAAAAGAATCATCTCAGCTAAAAAAAAAAAAAAAAAAAAGAGTACATACCATGGCAGGGCCAGGGACTGTCAAGTGCTCCGCATTTATCTGCATTAGGTATTATTTAATCATAAAAATGTATGGTTATTCTTCCTTTAGAGATGATAAAATTGAGGCACAAAGAAATTGCATAACTTATATAAGGTCACACAATTAATTGGGTGAAGCAGGTTTTAAACCTAGAGTAAATAGGTCCTTTACTCTAAACCAGGGGTCCTCAAACTTTTTAAACAGGGGGCCAGTTCACTATCCCTCAGACCGTTGGAGGGCCAGACTATAGTTTAAAAAAAAACTATGAACAAATTCCTATGCACACTGCACATATCTTATTTTGAAGTAAAAAAACAAACAGGCAAAAACACCCTCATGTAGTTTGAGGACCCCCGCTAAGGGTCAGTCAGTTCCACTCCAGAGGCCAAATCCAGACCATTGCTTGCTTTTGTAAATATATTTTTATTGGAACTCAGCCATGCTCATCCATTTAATACTCTTTTTCACTGTTCATGCTGCAACAGCAAAGAGGAGTAGTTGTGAAAAACGTTAAATATCTACTAACCGTTACTTTATAGAAAAAGTTTGCTGACATGAAAGCAATACATGTTGACATCAGAATGATGATGCCATCTCATGTTTAGTAGCCCCTGGAAAATTGCACTGTATGAGCATAGGAAAATGAGAATAAAAAAGGTAAATAATCTCTTAGAAGTGTTATTGAAGTAATTTCGACCTTGTAGATTTCATTAAGGTATCTTGGGGAACCTCAAGATTCCCTGAACTACAGTTTGAGAAACGCTAACATAGAGCAACAGTAGAAACAACATTCAAAATGGCAATAACCCCAGCTAGAATAAAACCTTTTTAAAAAATCAAATAAAATGATATTCATAAGGGTGTTTAACCTTGGCAGCATGAGAAGCTATGAACTCCTTCTCAGGATAATGTTTTTAATGCATAAAACACAGCACATAAGATTACAAAGGAAACTGCTTAATTTGGAATGCACTTCCATGCACAGAACACTTGGATAGAAACTGAACGCCTTACTACTGCTTTAGAAGTCCTTCAAGTCCACTCTGTGAAAATGGTATTCTATCCCTGCAATCTCTATCACAATCCTACAACCCTACTTCCGTCTTCCAACATCTTCACTTATGACACCTCAGTCTTCCATGTCTCAGGGTTGATAGTGACTTTTCCCCCTCAAATCCTACATACTTTTTTATGTAGATTGCCTTGTATGTACTTCTTAGCAAAACGTCTAACTTTCTTTTTGAAGTATAAACTCTTGAGATTAGGGACTCTGTATCTTTTATATTTCTCATGGTTTCTTACATAAAATAGGTACTTAGTGAAAACTCATCAAATGATTGACTAAACAGAAGAATAAAAAAGCATTTTCTCTGTTGACACTTGAGCTCACTTATATCTAATGTAAGCTTTTTCTTTGCAGGTCTTGGCCACCTGTAATATCGAACAGTCCTTTTTCAATGACTGGTTCACTGGGCACCTGAACTTCCAAATCGAGCACCAGTGAGTAATAGAAATAGTCCATGACAGGGGTGAGGGTAGTCACTTATAACAACTCCAAATATAGTCTAGAGCAGAGCCTTCGGCTCAGGGTCTCAGAGGGGGAAAACCAGGATTCTCTAAAGGTTGCTATCTTTCCATTAGCATCGATGGTAAGGGAGGAAAGAAAGAAAGGAAAGAAGGAGGCATTGACAATTCTGAGTATGGAGCGGAATCTTGGAAAAGTACCAGTGCCTCAGTTTCCAGACACCTACAGGCTTAGGGATTTGTGATTGTTTTCTAGGTATTTGGTTTGTTGGTGAAACCCAAGAAAAACATACCATTTGCATAACCAAGTTGTGTTGAAATTTAAGTAGAACTTAAATATCTGTCTCTTTAGAGCCAAAGTTACGAAATAATCAAAATGAAACCCAGCGTCTGATGCAATTTCCAAATGGTATCTGGCAGTATTTCACCAATGGGTCAGTTAGTTGGACATGCAAAACAGAAAGAGAAAATGATGACACTTGGAGAGCCAATCCCTTTAGAATATTCAGGGGACAGACTTTTTGCATCCTTTTTATCTAAGTCATATCTGGGATAGTCAGAGAAGAAAAGAGGTCTCTTAGCTGTCCACAGCATTTCCTCATTCTTTTTTCCATGTTAGTCCTTAAAAACCTCAGGAAAAAAAGAAAGCATTATTATTAGTCATATTTCATCAAAGAGGAATTTAAAACTCAAGAAGGTCACCTGGCTGATTGGTAGAAATCTTTAGGATAAGATAAGATTATATTCCTTCTATCCTGGTGTTATATTTGAGATTCGCAGGGCCACAGGACAGAGAGACAGAGTCACTGAGGCTGTAATTATCAAAAGGAGTTTTATTGTCTAGCTCGAGCTAGCGTCCGAGCCCCCAGAGTGCCAGCGCAGTGGCCTCTTCTTCGGGCAGGGACCCTCCTTTGTGTGTTAGAGACTCTTTTATAACTCAGTTGTTTACACACTGGTCATGCATCCGCCCCCACAGTGATTCTTACTTCATCCTGCCCATGATAGGCTCTAACCTGTTCCGAGTCCTAGCTGAGAGACTCAGGTTTCCGCGTTCTTTGTCTTTCTCCTCTGCATCTCATAATGTACTCATAATGCCTTGCGGTTAGCAAACAAGCAGTAAACAGAAGCTGGAAGGTGTCCATTGTCCTTATAGCCCAGTATCTTACACTGGATTTTCCATTTATACCATGACTAGAACTTATTGAATACTCATCTATTCAAGGCTCAGGAGTTGGAAGGATAGAGAGAAAAAGAGAGAGAGATAGAGACAGAGATGGGGAAGGGGATATCTCCAGCACTCCACGGTAATTCAAAAGGTTAGACAACCCATACCTTCATTTGACCTGGCCAAAAATATACATAGTCTATGGAGGTAATATTTATTTTATTAGCATTTTTCAAATATTTACCACCCACAGAGCTTGCAGAGGTGTTAAGAGATAAGATTAGACTATTTTAGCAAGAGTTTTTGAACTTCCCAGAAGCATTGTGCAAGCTCAAAGTTGGGTCTGCATTGGTATTATAATTTATTTGGCAATAGAGGAAAGAAAAGTCCTTTGGGCTTTTCTTTAGGTCTAAGGTTTATATTTCCGGTCTGTTTCCCTAGCCTGTTCCCCACAATGCCACGCCATAATTATCACAAAGTGGCACCTCTGGTGAGGTCACTGTGTGCCAAGCACGGATTACAGTACGTGAATAAGCCCATGTTGAAGGCGTTTGGAGATATTGTCAGGTAAGAACATAACTTCTCTCAGCTCACAGCTCTCATTTCTCTTCTCTGCCAGTCCCCTACTAGTCACTGGTTTGTGGGTCATTCACCTAACACCCATTTACTGAGGGCGCCTGTGTGCACAGCATGGACACAGACCCTACAGGGAACCATCTCAACAACAAAGATATTAATAACAACAATAATACTTAACCCTCATCTGTTGCCTTCTACAGACTTAGTGAGAATGCTTTACTCCCTATGGAATTTCAAGTTTCTTGAAGCCAAGGGTGTGTGTTATGTGCTTTTCCATGCCCCACAGAGTTTTGCACATGCTTTAGAACTTACGTGGTGGGAGGAACTGTGGAGTCATCTGGTCCAGTGTTGCAACTGTAGACACCTCAGGGTCCACTGGGACATAAACCTGTGAATCAGGCTGGGCTGACTGATTAAGAATAGTGAACTGCACGGGAACCAAAAATCCAAACTCACACTTAGGTGTTCACATACAATTACTTAGATAGAGAACATTGATTGTGCTGGTGAAGTTAACAGCTGGAGGTCTGGGTTTAATAACTTTCTCTTCCTTTTAGGATTGGAAACAAAATTTATCAGGGAAGGTTTGATCTGCTATAATATCTGACTAATGTTCCAACTTCAGACTCTCCATCACTCCCCTCCTCCCTCTCTGCCCTCTAGATACCCATCCTCAGTTGCTACAAAACTCCCTGCCACCAGCCATCCCATGCCTTTGCCACTGTTTTCTTCCAAACAGCCACCTCCCTTCACACCACCTGTCGGTTCCAATTCACTCTCCAAGTCTCATGTCAAATGTCTTTTCCCCGAGTCAGTCTTCTCTGACCCCCACAACTAAATCCATCACATGCTCTTGCAGCATCTGGTTCTCTTCATGTGTGGCCTTTATCACAATCATTTTTAAATGACATATTGGCTAAGAAATTATTTAATATGTGTCTCTCACTCTAGCCCAGGAACTCTATATGGACAAAACTTACACCTATCCTAATCATTGCTGTATCCCTAGAGCTCAGAAAAGTATCTTCCACCTTATAAAATAGGAATGGAATGGAAAACGGTAGGTAGATATAGGATGGGTTCTTATACAGGTGTGTAGATACCTGAGAATAAAATGAAGAGATGAAAATGAAGAGAATAAAATGAAAGAAAATCTTAATCTCCTCCAAAAAGGAAAGGCGAACCCACCTACTAAAAGCAATTTGGTGTATTTGACCCCCCCTCCACTGGTGAACAGAGAATGACATTTATCAGATGCAGCTGGAAATGATGACATTGCCCTGAAACAGGCAGAGGAGCAAATTTTGTGGAGAAGCCCCCTTTATATTACAATCTCACCTGCTGATGATTTCATTTACTCCTCCCACAGGGCTTTGAAGAAATCTGGGTCTCTCTGGAAGGATGCTTACTATGAAACATGATGCATGCATGCAATTGCATCTCTGAAAAGGGTTGGTGGATGTGCAAGAGCCCTTCCCTGCTGAACTGGGAATTAATTAGCACCACTGGCACATCTGAGTGTGCAGGAATGTGAATCCCAAGGACACCTGATGACTCCTTCCCTGAAAGTCTTCTCTGCAAATAAGAAGCCAGGAAACACAAGATGACATTGGAAAGGGTGACAAAAAGGAAATGGGAGCCCAGTGTTTTTATTTGTTCATTAGTATTTTAAACAAGATGTTTGTTGTTTAGGGATTCATAAACATGTAGAAATGCTGTAAGAGAATAGCAAACACAAAATTGAGGATCATGTGGGAAAAGGGTGCTAGGTAAGAACAAAAATTTATGAGTGGAGTAAATCTTAATTTGCTTCATGAATAAAAAGCATCATTTTTCTGAATTCACCATCTCAACTGATTTTTCTCACTCACCCTGTGGTGATGGTATTTCCACTGATGAGTCATTGACTGTATTTCTATTGCTCGTTCAACATCTTTACCAGAGGAAGAGAACCAAAACCTGTTGCTTTCATAGCTTCCCAGATTGCTGAGCACTGAGTTAGAATTTGGATGACCTGAAGTACAGGTCATCTTATCTTGTACTTATATTGTGCTTCATGCTGTGGGGCTCGGCTCTATTGGTAGATGAATGAAGGTGGCTTAATCAACCAGTCTCCTGTTTTTTTACATTACATGACTTCCAAGAGTTATGTCAGAGCCCTATGCAAAACTCTCCAGTGGATTCCCATGGCTCTTGGAATAAAGACCAAACCCTGAGACTGTCCTACCTGGTACCACTCTGGCCTTGTTCCCTCTGCTTCAGCCAGTGAACTATCTGCAAGTCTTCATGCCCCCTTCTGCCACAGGGTCTTTGCTCCTGATCCCAGTGTCTGAACCACTTTGTCTCCCTCCCTGCCCTCACTCCCTCTCACCTGGCTGCCACACACCTTCAGATCTTAGCACCCTTATCACGTCTCAGCATAGCTTTACCCACCACCCCAGGGATGCTGCCCTGCTGAGTCAAGGCCTACTGTGGTGTGATCTGTAGCAAGCACGACAGGTATAACTTTACATTCATTGGTATAATGTCTTAATTTGTTTGTCTTCCCCTGTAGCCTGCAATATCCATGACAGCAGGGACTGCCTGACATGTGGTAGACACGCAGTGAAGATGCACTCAAGGCAGGAAGGGAGAAATGCATGGATGGATGCCCATCCTAAGGGGCTATAACTTAAAATCCCCTTGCTCTTTCTTATGGATGTCCAGCACCAATAAGTTTTTCCTGACAATTAAAAACCCATTTAAAGCTTTCTTATCATGAGAATTTTCTGATTATAAAAATATATTAATGTAATTCTTTCCAGTTAGGTAGAAAGATAAGTTTTATCAAATATAGGAGAAGCACTTCTATATTCTAAGTATGATCTTTTTTGTTTTATTGTAGTAAGAACACCTCATGAGAGCTACCCGTTTAACATATATGTTAAGTGTACAAGACAGTATTGTTTTCTATAGGCACCATGATGCAAAGAAAATCTCTAGAACTTATTCATCTTGCATAACTGAAATTTTATGCCTGTTGACTAGAAACTCTTATTGTTTTCTTCCTCAAGCCCCTGGAAACTACCATTCTATTCTTTACTTCTATGAATTTGTCTATTTTAGATATTTTATATAAGTAGAATCATGCAGTATTTCAGTATTTGTTCTTTTGTGACTGGCTTCTTTACTTCACATAATGTTTTTGAGGTTAATTTATGTTATTGCATATTGTAGGATTTCCTTCTTTAAGGGTAAATAATATTTCATTGTATGTATACACCATATTTTTTATCCATTTATCCACTGATGAACATTTGGTTTATTTCCACATCTTGGCTATTATGAATATTGCTTCAATGAACATAGAAGTGCTAAGTCTTTGAGATTCTGATTTCAACATTTTTAATACATCCCCAGAACTGGGATTGCTAAGTAAAATTGTTACCAATACTATAACCATGTACTATTAATGAGTTCTGAGCTACCCTCTTCATGGACATTATTCCATTTAATCCTCATAACAGGCCCATGGACCAGGTGTTATAAATAACCTCAACTTATAGATGAAAAACTTTAGGTTTAGGAGGGTGAAACAATTTTCCTGATATTAGAGGCAGAAACTGGTGAAGTAGAGTTTCAGACCCGGGAATATCTAACTTCACAGTCAAAGTTCTTTAATTTCCATGCCAGGAAATCCAAACTAAAGGAGAATTAAGTGGCAGGAATTCAACCCAGGTCAAATTCATCTTTTCTATGGCTATATTTGTATGGCTTTCCCTGATTCCCTATTTCTTCTAAAGTTTTACTCTTTTTGGCAAAATTAAGCAGTGAGAATTTGCCTGTATTTTCAACTGGGCATTAAATAAGAGTGACTGGATTAGAAGTCAGGAACCTAAACTCTAATTTCAGATCATTAATTTAGTGCCCTAAAATGAACTTGGCAAGGTGACTTACACACTTCATACCTCAATCCCCACCTTTGTATAGGGCTGGGCCATAATATTACCTGGTCTATGTGCATCATTGCATGTTGTGACAATGAAGTGAAGTAAGCCAAATGGAATGATTTTATAAGCAGGAAACACCCATTCAGATTCTAATTATTGTCATTATTATTGTAATGAGAGTTCCTCCCATCCCAGAGCCACTAAGCGCAAAAAAGGACACAAAATGACACAGACTCACAGAATGGGCACTTTTTCTCAGATGAAAGGCTCATGAGTCACAAATGAAAAAACTGATTTCTCCTGTTGCAACAAGTAACACCCATGAATCACATACCACTTCTGACTGTACTTAATCCCCTGGGAGCAGCATCCAGCTCCCAGGCTGAGGAGGAGGGTAGAAAGCCAGGGTTCTAGCTGTCCAAACTCATGGCTGATCACCTGATTGTGCCATTTTTATTGTTGGAAATCTTACTAATGGTGTACAACATAAGTATACCATTTTTTGCTTAATCAATTCCATAATAATGGAATCTCTTGTGCGCCTCCTTGTTAGTCATCCACTCTTCTAGTACAATCCTAAAAGTGCAGAAAGTATAGGAGATTGAACTTAAATCCTGTAGAAGGCAGGGATACCCTCAGGTGCCTTTTCTTTCCCAACATTATTTATGAAACAGACAACAGCGTTTTAAGAATTTTACAGTGTCCATCCCTGAGACCGTGTGCATTCCCTCCTCCCCACTCCCATCTGCCAGACACCCGCTGAATGTTACTAATATGTGTGAGTTTAAGTGTTGATCGATTAATGCCAATTTAATGGTGAGTACATGGGGTCCTTTTTTTCCATTCTTGTGAGAAAATAAAAAATTTAAAAAATAATTTTACAGTGAAGAAAAAACAGACAGAGAAACATAGATTGTATGTTAGTCTGAAGGAAGGGTGCCTGAGCCTTTGGGAGACTCTATGGGAAGAAATTGCAGTGCAGAACAAGAAGGATCAAGGTATTGGTGAAGTTGAACCCCCAAGAGGCCTGAAGTCCAGCAAGAAGGGTAGGTGGAGAGATTCGTTCCTCCCTCCCTCGCATATCTGACAGTCAGTGGGATCCCAAGCTGCTGGAGAGACTTTCTGCCCACATGAGCCCAGGGGCTGCTGCCATCTGTGGGCTGAGAACTTCTTGTGGACAGTGCACCAGGCTCCCAGTCCCTTGGGCCACTTCCTGCCACCACAGACCCAAGCTAGGACAGCAGATGCCATATTGCTTCTCCACCCACTGTGCACCTTTGTCCTCCCCAGGGGGCTTCAACTCCTCAGGTTTCATCTTGCTTATTTCTACACAGACATTTTCCAACTCCTGCCCAGACTGCAGGAGTCACGAGGGTCTAATGGGTCCCAAGTGATCTTCATGACTTCAGAGTCTGCACATTCTGGATGGACTGCCTCCCAGAGAGATGGTCAGAGATGATCAGAGTGCTAGCATTCCTCCATACAGACTCTTTTCCTCCCCTTCCTCTCACCCACTATGGCTGTGAGAGAGAAAATTGAGCCACCACACAGAGTCTTCCATGAAGAGTGGGGCTCAGGCCTTTCTTCTTATTGTCCTGCAGTGATCTGAGGAGTGCTCAAACTGTGAATTCCCTGCTTGCCGGCTTTCCATGATTCTGCTTGCCTGGTGACTCCATCAGAGCAAGGCATGCCCTGAGGCAGAGGGACATTGATTCTGCTTGGCCACCCCATGGACGACTTGGGACCAGTACGCTTCTCCCTGGCATGGTCAGCAATTGATCTCTTTGGTCTCAGGAGGTGAAGGAACATGCGTGGGCACAACTTGGGGAAGGGTTCAGTGTGGGTCCTAGCTCCGGCATGCTCATGGGGCACCCCTTCCCCCATGGGAAGGCCACACTCTCAGCTCAGGCTGGGATACTGGCTGGGGAAATCCCAGCCCACAGCAAGTATTGGGGAGCTTGACTGGATGGGGCTCCTGCCTACCAGGGGGGGCTAGGGAAAAACTATAGTGCAGAGGGTGGGGGGAAGGAGTGAGGCCCACTGCAGACTGCCAGTTTGTGAATCTCAGATGGACCTGCCTCCACAAGCAGACTTTCTGGTTGGGTGGGACCACTTCAGCCTCTCCCTGGCAGATCCGCCCAGAAGCTGGCAGCAGACATTTGACCACTGCCAAAACTGCTACATTGCCAGCTTTTGTGGAGCTTGAGGGCAATCTTGCCCAAGCCAGCCCTGCCCAGCCAAATTCCTCCACCCTTTTCTGCTATGGCAGAGAATAAGGATTCACCAGGAATTTTGAAGTTCCCACCCACCACCTGGGGCATGTGAGTACTTCTCTGGAGGGATAAGAGCTGGTCATAGGACCCTAAAACAACATTGCAGCTTGTTCCTTCTAGTAAGTGCTTCCAAGTGACAGGGAGGTCAATTTCCATGCCCTTTAGAGCATTTACTGACTCAATTTTACGGGGTGTGTGGTGGACAAAGGAGTGGCCATTTGGGGGAGCACCTACCCTTCCCCACAGAAAATTGGCACTACTAGATAAGGGCAGAAAGAACTCAGCCCATGGCCCTAGCTTAGAAGAATTTAGCTGTTCTTCCAAGTGAACAGCTCTGCTGCTTGTCCTGACCCTCCTACCAGCAACTCCCCCTAATGGCAGTAAAATCAACTTCTGTGCCCTGCTGAGGCTTTGCAAAGCCTTTCGGCTCCCAGGACCTGGCCACAAACTGCCTTGCTCTGCCCAGCACCTCAGTG